CAATGTATTCACACAATGAAATATTATGCAGCATTGGAAAAACAATGAACTCTTAAACATCACACAACATGGGTAAGCCTGGAAGACATTATGCTGAGTGAAACATCTTAGTTCAAAAGTACAAATACTACATAACACCACTGTTATAAAACAGGATTGACATGGGCATTGGGGAGAACTAGGAAAAGAGTGGATAGATAATGACCTCTGCATTGAAACAGATGAAAGAGAGAACTGTTTAAAAAGAAAATAGGATTAGGCATTATTTGTATGACAACAGCTCAGAATAAAGGTACACTGCAAAATGGCCTGGGGCGGAGGGAGGAAGTTGTACAACAATGAATGAATATTAAAAAAGAAGTGAACTGAAGGAGGGGAAAGGAAGGAAAATGTACAACAATGAATGAATGAAAATCCAACTTTTCTGTAAACTCATTAAAATCACAATAAAAAAGAAAGAAAAATAAAGTATGCATTGGGAAATCCACTCTCAAGGACCTCACTAGAGGGCCAAAGAGCAAAGATGCCACTTTAATCATTAAGGGACCCCTGACTCAAGCCTGTGACAGCTGGACAATGCATGAGGAAGGTCATAGGAGACGAGATGCCTTTCAAGCAGGAGTGGTGGGAACACTTTCTCTACCACAGACTGCCAAAAGCACAGACAGATCCGCCTTGGACAAGTGCAGTCAGGGTACTTCCTTAGAAGCAGACAGTGAGAGTGTCTCCCTACATGGGGCGTGTTGTCAGGAGGAAGGCCGTCATGCTTGTAGAAGTCAGGGTCAGTGAAAGGGAAGAAAGCCTTCAACAGCACGGACTGACACGTGTGTGCAGCAATGGGCTGGGCAGGAGAGACTGAGGACGCTGTGGACAGGGGTCTGTGCCACGGGGCAGGGCGGTGGACAGTGAGCACCGGGCACCTAACAGGGAGGTTGGTGTTACAATGGTTAGGTAATCTCATCTGCCAACGGAAAGGTGAGCCCACCAGCCTGTCCTTGGAGGAGGGGCAGCCCACCTTTGCAGATTGTTGTTGTTTTTAGGTGACATCGAGTGTACCTCAAAGCCACCTTATGAACAAAAGAGCTGAACCAAGTCCTGTCCTGTGTCATCCTCACACCTCCTGACACACAAAAGTCTGTTGCAACAGTCACCCTGTCAATCTACCTGGTTGAGGGTCTTTCTCTCCTTCGCCGACCCTCCACTGTTCCCAACATTATGTCCTTCTCCAAGGACTAGCTCCTCCTAACAACACGCCCAAAATTTGTCCTCAAACTGACATCACCACCCCTTGATAATTTGGAAAGGTCCCTAACTGCAGACTGTCCCAGTGCAATGCATCTCATTTCCTGACTGCTTGTACCAAAGGTATTAATCGTGGATCCAAGCAAAATGAAGCTGTTGACAGTTTCAATCTCCTCTCCATCCATCATGACACTGCCTGCAACAATCTTTGTTTTACTGATACTAAGATGCAATCCGTACTGAAGGATACATTCCTTGATCTTCTGCAACAAGTGTTTCCAGTGCCATCTGTGTAACACAGGTTATTGATGAGTCTCCGTCCAATCCTGATGCCACTCTCCTCTCAGAGTCCAGCTTCTTGGATAATTTGCTCCGCGTATAGATTGAACAGGTATGGAGACAGAATACATTCCAGCCTTGGAAACCCTGCAGGACAGTGAGTTTAGGGGTGCAACCGAGGGAGGAGTGGGCCTCTTGCATCTATCCTTCCAGGAGGTGGGTGTGTGAAGGGAAGGCCATGTGGCCGCACCCTCAGGAGGAAGGAGCCCCAGGCCACCCCTGTGGGGTGCCCGGGACAGACAGGCTTGGGCTTAGCTTCTGCTGCATTTGGCAACTCCGTGGTGTTTGGTTTTCCAGCAGGGCCTGGGTGGTGTTTTCTCAATAAAGACTTATGTCTGCAGAAACACCATCTGGCTCTGGCATGGCTGCTACAGGCAAGTCGGCGGCCCTGGTTCCCCGTGGGCAGTGGGCAGGTGGGTGCCGCCAGGGCTTCTCCCTGCACCGGACCGTCTCGTAAGGCATTCATCTCACCCTGATCTGGGGTGACTTGTGTGAAGTCCTACCCCGCCCCCGTGATCGAGACCCGCTTCACCAGTGCTAAGCAGGCACTGCGTTTTTGCAAACTGCTGGCCTGCGGGTGCCACGTCTCCAATTTCTCCAACAGAAGTGCGCTCACTTCTGAGTCCCAGTTTGGCCGTTCTCAGAGCAGCTCAAGGTTTTCATTAGGTCGTTGCACTTCACAGCGGCCCTGTCGCGTTTCCAGCAGTGCCCACCTTTCAGGACAATCTGTCGGCTGGGAGCCTGACCCATAAAGCACGGTGCTGCCAGGGCCCTTTGGATGTCAGCACCCACGGTGCACGTAGCTTCCAAAAGCCGTGTGCCTTGCTGTGTTGACAGCCGCTGTACTGTCCAGCAGACCTGCAGCGTCTCTGAGGCACCTAGTCAGTTCCCGAGGGCATGATGGGGTTAGTCCTAATAGCCTCTGAGTGCTACAGAGACAGGGGAGGGGATGTGGGCAGGGACAGGATCTGCCCCGAGGACATGAGGAAAGGTGTCTGCCCTGAGCTTGACCTCCTGGCCTCTAGGAGACAGGCTCCTCCAGGGCAGGTGGTGGCCCTGCCCCTGCCCCCAGGGTCTCCTGGTCCTGCCCTTGGGTCCCACCCCCAGTGCTCCTCACAGCAGCTTCTCAGGAGCTTCAAAGATGGAGACCTGACAAGGTGAAAAGTGGCAGAGTCTGGTGACACAGACCACAGGGTGTTCCAGACCACACGGTCCAGCAATTGGGCCTTTGTGATACCTGGTGACGATACACAACCTTGGTGCTCTGCCTCAGCCTGCCACGAGGGGGACCTGGAGGTGTAGTGCGTAATGCTGTTACCCAAAGGCCAGAAGTTTGAATCCACCAGCTGCTGGAGGCACAAAGCTGGGCCACCTCCTCCTGTGAAGCTGGAAGCCTCGGGCACTGATGGAGGGTCCCTGAGTCAGGATCAATCAACTTGCAGCCAAACATCAGGCAGGCCTATGATGTGACCACGCTCCAGCAATCCACCACCCCATCAGGAGGACAGCACTGCCCGGGCTAAAAGCAGAAGACAGGTCAGACACAGATGGAGGAATGAAAACAAAGACTCACTGGGAGGGAATTGAGAGTCAGTGCAGATTTTCATTAACGTCATAAAAACGCCTCTCTAGATGGAAAGCACCAAAAGCCTCCCACAAGCTTGGAACCTGACATGAACATGTGCTTTGTCCCTTAACGCACCGTGTCCAACTCCCCTGTGACCAGCGAGGACACCTCTGCATAAGTGTGTGTGCCCTTTTCCTCCTTGCCTCACACCTAGGAGGCCATGCGTCTGAGCATGGCCCAAGGCTCTCACTTCAGCATTAGGGACTGCCTGCCGTCTCCTCCCTGGCTGCTGGCTGCAGGGGTCCGACCCCTTCTCTTGGTTACTGGCCCTAAGGACCCCATGTGGCCACGTTCTGACCCCACAGAGAACGATGCAGAGTGACGCCCGTCACACAGGCACCTCAGTGGCGCTCTCTCCCTGAGGCTGGCCCTAGGCCAGCCTTGCTTGTGGTGGGTTACTCTCCTGAACAGGACCACCATCCTCCCAGCTCACATCCACCTCTGAGAGGTGACCGCTGGGCCCTTGCTCACTCAGGATCCTGCTGACGGCCTCTGCGAACAGTCCGTGGGGGGTCCTGACTGCTGACCTGGCAGGTGAGACCCTAAAGGTGCACCATGGACACCCCAGAGCTGGGTGGAGGGAAAGGCTGGACGTCTGTACCCATGGGTACAGCCACCTGCTGGTGGGGCCAGGCCTGAGGGTCAGTGACCACTGGCCAGGCCCTCAGCCACACTTGGTGGCCTCAGATACAATGTTCCTGCCACACAAGTTTAGGTGGTGCTTGACAGGGCAGCAGGCCCAGGGACAAGGCTGCTTCTCCTTATTCTAGACTTTTCTCCCCTTCAGTGGTACAGTGACAACTCTGAGCTGTGCTCTGGTGTGGACATCCCTGAGGCAACCCGCTGAGAACAGGGCGCAGGTTCAGAGGAAGCTGCAGCCACACTGGCCACCCCCACGGCCACTCCCCGTCCGGATGATGATCTCGCAGTCACTGAGCTGGCAGTGTGTCCTGACCCCACCCTGTCAGCAAAGTAGCCCAGGCTGCTGCCATCCACCTCTGCCGTACCCTCCTCGGCCCAGGGCGGTGGGCACGGCTGGGTGAGGGTGTGGTGTGGTAGGGCGAGGACGCCTGCCTGCCCACACTCCCCCCCTCCCCCCACAGAGGACCCGGGAACAGGTCTCCACTGTCAGCTGTGCAGCTCCTGACCCTTCAGGTACAGGAATGGTCCAGGCAGCTGAGTGCTGACTCTGGCCTCCCGGAAGCCTTTGTCTGGGGCGCCAGTGATCTGAGCCTGTCTTTTCTATGGGAACGTCACCCAGTGCACTGGACATCAGGGATTACCCGGCCAAGCAGCGTGGGAGGACACCCCACAGGCTTCCTCTCAGTGACCTACTGACCACGACACAGCTGGTTGCAGGCCCTAAGGGTTGAGCGAGCAGGGAAGGCAGGTCAAGCTTGGCGTTTAGAGGAATTTATTGCGCATCCCTGAGCCGTTGGGCAGAGTTCTTAAGTTAGGGCTGGAGGCCAGGCCAGCACTGGGGCGGGTCTCCAGAGCTCATGGCACGTTCCTGTTCTGCACCGGCCCCGAGGCAGGCTTGGAGGCCCCATGCTCACAGTGTGCTCCCGTTCTGCACCGGCCCCAAGGTGGACCCGGAGGCCCCGTGCTCCCGGTTCTGCACTGGCCCCGAGGTGGACCCGGAGGCCCAGTGCTCCCGGTTCTGCACCGGTCCGGAGGTGGACCTGGAGGCCCCGTGCTCACAGTGCACTCCCGGATCTGCACCGGCCCCGAGGTGGACCCGGAGGCCCCGTGCTCCCGGTTCTGCACCGGCCCGAGGCGGGCCTGGCACCGCTCATGGCGCGCTCCCGTCCTGCATCATCTGCAGGTACTCCCGGTGCAGCTTCTCCTGCGCCTCCCACAGCTTCTTCAGCTTCTTGGCCTGGCCTTTGCTGATCTCCTTGCCGTCTGTGTCGTGTGTGGGAAGGCCCTGTGGGGGGATAGGATGGGGTTCTCTCATCAGGGAGCCAGTTCTGGGGAGACACAGGTGGGTGATGTCCCCAGCGGGGACAAGGACAGGAGTCAGCTCCAGAGCGGGCTATGACGAGTGTCAACGCTGGGTGGGAGATGGAGCTAGGAGTCAGCCCTGGCAGGGGACATGGAGCCATCTCTCCCCTGCTGTCTGTCCCCCGGGGCCGATTCACCAGTGGGGACCTGCTGGGCATTTACTGCACACTGCTCCAGGGGAGGCATGGGGTGGGCCTCCCTCGGTCCTCACTTGGAGGGCACCCCTGCCCAGGCTGGCAGCCCCGCCTGCACCTTAGCTGGTCTCGTAGGTACTCACGGTGTCGTCAAACTTGGAGTACTTGTCGCTCTCTGACAGGAACATCTCCCGGGGCGGGATGCGCATCTTAGCCAGTTTTGCCGCCTGGGACACATAAGAGGGACACGGGGCTCACACCCGAGGAGGTTCTCACTCAGGGTGCCAGGAGGGACCCCCAACACCCACATGCATATCCTACCCCCTACTCGGGGAGAAGGACAAACGATTACCCCATGTGAGCGCCAGAGCCCAGACTTGGGGTGTGGGGAAAGGAACATCCCCATAAGCACCAGATCCCACATTTGGGGACAGGGATACTCTGGTGCCCTCTGACCCCACACTTGGGGTGCTGGGAGGGAACCGCTGTCACTTAGTCTACTGTCAGCACTCCTGCTCCAGGACCCCCTGATGCCCACCCCAACCCCTACACTAGGGCCCCAGCAGATGGCCCATCCTGTCAGCCCCCACCCTGAGTGCTGGGGGTTAGAGAATACGGTGGCCAGCTGAAAACCCAAGGAGGGTGACTTGACCCCAACCGCATGTCCTCCTGGGGGATGCGGGCTGTGAGAGGACGCTCACCCCAGCCCCACGGCACCTAACAACGCTGTCCCAACCTCCTGTGAGGACAGAGAGCCGGTCCCCCTTAAGACCATTTCTCACACCTGGACAGGACTCCGAGTCCCCGTTGGGTGAGCCACGCCCACCCTCACCCCAAGTCCCAGGCAGCACCTCCTGCTCCTGCTTCCTTCTGGCCGCCTCCTCCTTCTTCCTCCTCTTCTCCTCTTCCACCTGGGGGAGCAGCATCCACTGTGAGATGGGGCACCTGGCCCCCCACAACCCTTGGGCTCTCGTCAGGTGGGCAGCAGTCAGACTGGTCGCCCCTCGGACATGGTCCGGGGACTCTGCATCCACAGCCACCAGAAGACAAGCCTGGAGACGGGGAGCCAACGAGGGCCAGGCAATCCCTCCCTGGGGCGTCATGCTGGGAGAGGCGGCTTGGGCGCACATGAATGCTGAGGGGACCCACAGCCTCAGCGGGAAGGGGGTGCCCGGACAATGCCACTGAAAAAGTCACTAAGCACCACCAATCTCCCCAAAACAGAAGGCAGTTTTCTTACTAAAGCCTTCTGTTATCAAATCACCACCTCCTGGTGCCCCGCCCCCGCCCCCGCACTCCATCTATCTCACTCCTAAAAAGCAGCTGGTGGATTCGAACTGCCGGCCTCTGGGGTCACAGCCTGCTTGCTATCCTACCACGTCACCACCACAGGAGGCTAGTCCTCTTCTCTTGCTGGGTTTTGCTTTTTGACGCGGACACGAGTTCTGAAGGGGAAGCATTTCTGCCTCACGCCCTCACACACTGCTGGACGCATCAGCTCACTTACCCTTTTCCTCTCTTCTCTCTCTCTCAACAAGGTCTCTCTGTCCACCAGCTTGACCACGGTGGGGAGCCCTGGAGGACAAGCAGGAGTTCAGGGGAGGCTGAGGCTCCTGGGACCCGTCTCACAAGGCGACCTGGCCTGCCCAGACCACCAGGGCCTGCCTGCACCCTTCCTGCCCACGAGCTGCACCCAGGGGCCTCAGGCTCACGGCAGTCTGTGTCCTCGCCCCCTGCCCAGAATCCACACAGAGACATCCGGGGTCCACAAAATGTTTAGAGAATACACCGTCTGTAGGGTTTGAGGCTGTAACCCTCATAGGGACAGACTGCCCGTCTACGCTGCACAGCACCTGGGTTCCAGCTCCTGACTTCTGGTCGCCACTGCCCACCCTCCGTGCCACGAGGGCCTGCTAAACCAAGACCACCCGGGGGGCAGCGTATGGCATGTCTTGTAATTGTGGAGGGAAGTCACAGAGGATGAGGCCTCTGGACATGTGGGGACAAAGGTGATGGCCTGCTCACATGGGGAAGGGCTGGGTGGACAGGCCTCTGTCCATACCCCCTGACTGCCTCCCCCGGTGCATCCAAGAGGACCCAGATGCTCACGTCACCTTCATGGTCTTCCAGCCGGACCCCGAGCTCGGGCAGGATGTCATCTCGTAAGGTGTCGCTGAGCTGCAGTACCTCAGGGACTGTGGGGACAGCGAGCTGTCAGGACACGGGCATCCACGGCTTCCCATGCACCCACGCGAGCAGCACGAGGTCACCACCAGATGGGAGAGGGGGTCCCCCCTCACTGGCCACAGCAGACCCCCATCAGCTGCTACACCTCGGGGAGTCCGAGCCTGCCGGGCGGGCCTGCCCCAGAGAGCAGCAGCCTGCCCGTGGCTGGGGGAACAGGTCACTGCGGGCTCTTGTATCAGCACTGGCCTGCTCACCCCAAAGCCAGACTTGACCTCAGGAAAAGGCCACATGCCAACCCCACAGCCTCACAGCCGGTCACTCGGGGACAGTCCTACTATCCTGGACTGAAGGTCTAGGGGCCACAGTCAGGCCATGCATCCAGGTACGTGGGCCCTGGGCCACACTGTGTGCTGGGTTTCCTGCTCCACACACCCAGGCAGCATGCCTGTCCCCAGGTGGGGAAGGGGCAGCTGCCGAGACCACGCTCGAGTCCTGCGCAGGGAGTGGACGCAGTAGCCCTGGGCTGTCTGTGAGGGTCAGGACTCAGTCAGAGCTCCCTGCAGAGTGAGGCCTGATCCGCAGTGACCCTCCATGGGGGGCGGGCCTGAGAACCCCAGGAGGGAGAATGCTCAGCTCTCTCCAGAGGCCAGGAGCCAGGGACGAGGCCGACGGGAGCAGCCACCAGGATGAGTCCCTGCTCCCAGGTTCCTCCCTGAGGCTCCGCCCAGTCCAGCAGAGGACCCTCCCGGAACGGAGCGGAGAGGCCCCTCCACTCCTCAGTGACAGTGTCCTGATGGGAGGACATCATCAGCATGTTTTGCTGCCTGGTGCTAGGCGGGGTACCAGGAAGGACCCTCAGAGCTGGGCTGGCCTGTTGGCACCAACACCTCAGACATACACGGGTCAGACAGGTGGTGACGGGCCTGAGGCCAGACTCTGAGCGTGGCCCTCTCCCTGTGGGCAGTGTGGTTCTCGGGCAACAGGCTGTTTTGGGGGGAAAGCCAGTCAGGTCTGCCACCGCCGTCACCAGAGCCCAAAACATCCAGGCTGCGTCCTCCCTGCAGCGGGCACCATCAGCGTGGCTGCCAGGTGGGCTAAGCTGCCAGGGGATGGACACTCCTGGGCTTCAACCCCTGGCGCTCGGTCCATTTCTGGGTCCAGCTCCTGCCCAGCACACAGGGCCTGGCACCAGCTGATGTCTCAGGTCAAGGCACTGTGAGGCTCAGGCTTGCTTTCAGATCACACAGCACACACCAGACGGCAACACAGCTCTGAGACTGGAGCTGAGCCCTGTCCTGGGAATCCGGGCCCCATCACAGCCCGAGCAAGGGAAGCAGGCTGGGCGTGTGCACCTCCCGGCACGAGGCCCCGGGCTCACCAGGTGGATATGTGCCCGCTGCAAACACACAGCACAAGCAGGGCAGCCAGGTGGACAGGCCCTCAGCAGACCACGACGGGCACCCTCTCTGGCCTGCCACCCTCACTGTCCTGTCCCATCACTCTCCTGCACCAGGCTCAATGCTCAGTTGACTGCTGGGAAGGTGGGGAGGGGGTGGGGGGATGGCGTGCAGGACAACGTCCTGCATGAGGGTCCTGACACCAAGGTGCTGCGGAGACCTCGTCAGCGGAGCCCATGGGGAGGACGGCGTCCCGCTCTGAGCGGATGGCCTCACCTTTCTTCTCTCTGGCGATTCTCCGCACTCCTTCCCTGAACTCTGACAGCGCCTGCAGGTACGGCATCACGGTGGCCTCGAGCTGTGGGAAGAGGGCTCAGCTCACCCAGGAGTAAAGGGTACTCCGGCCACATGGAGGTGGTGCTGGAGGCAGGGCTGTTCCTCGTGTGGGAGATCGGACCACAGCCGGGTCTTCTAACTGTGCACCTCGTAGAATGGGGGACCCGTCAGGCCTCCTCACACCTCGTGTTGGAATGGGGGACCACAGTCAGGCCTCCCCACACCTCGTGTTGGAATGGGGGACCCGTCAGGCCTCCCCACACCTCGTGTTGGAACGGGGGACCACAGTCAGGCTTCCCCACACCTCGTGTGGGAACGGGGGACCCGTCAGGCCTCCCCACACCTCGTGTGGGAATGGGGGACCCGTCAGGCCTCCCCACACCTCGTGTTGGAATGGGGGACCTGTCTGGCCTTCCATGGTGCACCGGCTCCCAGTGCACGCAGTTGTCACACAGGCCCAGACACCACAGAGCGAGGACCCCGGCAGGGCGAGTCCCCGCACCATCCGGTTCCCCAGAACGTACAAACGGCCCCCTGACACACACTGGAATGTCCTGCGTGTGCACTACACGGTGAGGAAGGCTGACGTGTTCTCTGAATGACCCGTTGGGACACAGGCCCCCGGCAGGCAGATGCTGTAAGCTGCCTAATCATACTCCTTTTAAACAGTTTTTCCTTCTTCCGTTCCAATGCAATGGTCACTAACAGCCCAAAATAAGAGGCATCATTGCAGAAAGAACTGGGGCAGGTAATTGGGCGACAATGAATGAATATGGAAAAAAAAAGTCAACTGGGGGAGGCGGTAAAAAAGGGAAGAGGGAGGGAGAGGAGGTAAAAAGTCAACAATGAATGAATGAAACCCTAACTTCTCTGTAAATGTTTGCTAAAATCACAATTAAAATAGAAAATGGTACTGAGGAAGTCAATGCAGGGCTGCTGTCAGAGCTCCATTTATGCAATAAAAACAAGCCCCCAAAAAATGTCTGTGTGAGCACAGTGACGCGAAGGTCAACAGAGACGTGTCTGTGCTCAGCGCGGCCTCCTGACCCCACAGGGAGCACCGCTGATGAGGGGGTGCGGCCTCCTGACCCCACGTGGGGGCACCGCTGATGAGGGCAGATGGGGCCCAACAGGGGGAGACATGTCTGTGCGGCCTCCTGACCCCACGATGGGGGAATCTCTGATGAGGACAGGCACATAGTAACAATGCCCACTCTCGTTCTCCTGGGTGGACACCATGAAGGCCGGGGCCCTGTCGACAGTGCCCTGCCCGTCCCTGTGGGCCTGTCCTGGGATCAGTTTCCCCTCTGGTGCTGCGTGAGATCTAGGCCAGCAGTGCCATGGACAGAGGATGACAGTGGGGTGTCTCCTGGGCATGTGGGCTCCACTCTGTACACCGGTGTGTCCTTAGGAATGGCACTCACTGACCACAGGCTATGCAGTGAGGCCACCGAGGGGACGTGCTCACTCCTGATGCTATGGGCACCAAAGCAGAGGCCAGGGTGGAGTGTCAGGAGGGTGGGACTCAGCACTGGTACTCCATTTACCAGATGGACGTAAGACAGTTAAGAGTCGGCCAGGTTCCAGAAGCAGGAGATGCCCGGAGCCAAGGCCGGGGAGGGTGTGTGGACAGAGGATGTGCAGGTGGCCCCGAGGAGCTTCAGCCATTGTACTCACGTCTAGTCCGGCCCCACGTCCGCCGACAGGGAAGCCCAGGGAGCTATCCTCATCGATGGCCCCAAAGATCTAGGGAGAAAAGGAGGAGGACTCGGAAAGGAACCCTGGATGGTGATGAGCCCGACGGCAGGCGCCAGGCAGCGGCTCTCCCCATCCTGTCCTGGGACCCGCTCAGGGGGCAGAGCTGCAGACGGCTGGGCACCGTGTGTGCCGCTGTGCCCTGGAGAGCGGGAGGCAGTGGACTCCAGCGTGCCCAGTGCCAGGGGTGTGAACAGTCTGCACTAGACAGACATCGGGCTCTGAGCTGTCCTCACATCTCACAGCGGGAGCAGGGAGACCCTGTGAGCACAACCACCAGGTGCTGATGGACCACAGTGTCCACCTGGCTCTCAATGGCCCAGCGAGTGCTGCTCCACAGACACCCTCAGACTGTGTTCAGTCTGCCTTGGGCCCCCCTGACCCTGTGTGTCCGTGGTTCATCTTCCCTGGGCCCCCTGACTGTGTGTCCATGGTCAGCCTGTCTGGGTCTCACTCTGACCCTGTGTGTCTGCGGTCAACCTGTCCGGGTCCCATCCTGACCCCGTGTTTGTGGTCAGCCCGTCCCGTTCCCACTTTGACCCTGTGCCCGTGGTCAGCCTGTCTGGGTCCCACCCTGTCCCGTGTGTCCGAGGTCAGCCTGTCCGGGTCCCACCCTGACCCCGTGTTTGTGGTCAGCCTGTCCGGGTCCCACTGTGACCCTGTGTATCTCAGGTCAGTCCGTCCCTGGCCCTCCTGACTGCGTGCGCAGGGCTGGGTGTTTGCCCATGTGCTGGACTGGTGCCCACCTTGACCCTGTGCCCGTGGTCAGCCTGTCCGGGTCCCACCCTATCCCATGTGTCCGTGGTCAGCCTGTCCGGGTCCCACCCTGTCCCGTGTGTCCGTGGTCAGCCTGTCCGGGTCCCACCCTATCCCGTGTGTTCGTGGTCAGCCTGTTTGGGTCCCATACTGACCCTTGACCCTGTGTCCGTGGTTAGTCTGTCCGGGTCCCACCGTGACCCTGTGTATCTCAGGTCAGTCCGTCCCTGGCCCTCCTGATTGTGTGCGCAGGGCTGGGTGTTTGCCCGTGTGCTGGACTGGTGCCTACCTTGAGCATGTGTGTGAGGTAGAGGGCAATGCTCTCCAGCAGGATGCGGTTGGGCCGCCGGCGGGCTGCCTTCCTGGCCGCCATGTAGAGGTTGCACTGGCTGACCAGGGCCCGCATCTCCTCCAGGGCCGTACGGGTGTCCACGTTGTCACAGAGAGCCTCGTGGACGGCGGACTTCTTGTTGTAGAAACTAGAGGAGAAGGGACTGTGAGTGATCAGATCCAACCATGCACGTGACCACCAGGTGAGTGTGGGTCACAGCCAGAGCGTGACACACACTGACCACCAGAGCAGTGTGCGTCACAGTCAGAGCCGCATATAGTGACCACCAGGACAGGCTGGGTCACAGCCAGAGCCACTCCCCTTGACCAGCAGGCCGCCGAGGGCCTCGGCCGGAGCCCAGGCAGCCGTAAACCTCTCCTCCCGCAGGCCGCCCGCAGCCACAGAGCACCCTGGCTCACGGTGGCCCTCAGGACAGAGCAGGACCACCTGACCAGAGGGCTCCCACGGTCGTCATCTCGATAGACCACTCGTCCTTCTCCTGGGACTAGGGCTTCGAGCTGCCCACCTTCCAGTTAGCAGCCCAGCACTTGAGCCACGGGGCTTCCCAGAGGCCAGTGCAGCAGCTCAGAGCATGCGCCTCAGGGTCTGTGTGTGCCATCCGGCGACGGCGTTCATTGTGCCACGCAGCCATCCTCACCCCCCCCTTCCTACTGCTGCTCCCACAGAATTCCAGGGCCACACCACGGGCAGGGACCTGGGGCCAGCGGGCAGCATGGTACCACACACGCACGAGCCCAGGAGGAGGGCCCCTTACTTTTTATTTAGCTCTGTTTCCTCCTCTTCCCACTTCTCAAACTGTCCCGTCACGTCCACAGGGGCTCGGAGGAGATCTTTCACGTTTAAGAAAAACTCCTAGGGTCAGAAAAGCTGTTGAATGACAGTGAAGGAATGGCCCAGGCCCACACTGGCTCAAGGGCAGCTCTGTGGGCTGACCCCCAGTGGGTCCCCTCCACGGTGCTGAGGAGGCAGAGAAAGGGTCCCCAAGACAGAGCCTGCCCCGTCTCTGCCTCAGCCGCCCCCATTCAGCTCGGGACGCCAGCCCAGCCCATGACGACAGCAGGCACGCTTTAGGCGAGAGCGGTTCTCTGGTCCCTCCCGGAGCCTAGGTGGGGACTCTCGGGACATGGACGGACTGTGACCTCACCTCACACTGGCTGACCAGGGCAGCGCTCCCCGGCTGAGGAAGGACTCACGTTCATGAACTTCTCGTACTGAAGGGCCGACTCCATGGTGTTGCTGGAGTAGTCAAGCGTGTCTTTCCAGGCGTGCATGAGGAAAGCCAGCCGCAGCTGGCGTGCTGGTGGACACACAACAATGACCATTATCTATCTCTTTCCCTCCGCCAAAGCCAATGTCTACTACAGAAAGCAGGGAGGGCTCAGACAGGATGAGAGGAAATGGGAAACACAGGCCTGGAGCGGGAGGCGTGCTGCTCTGCTGTGGGGACTACACAGGGTCAGGCAGAAACCACGTGAACCGCTGAGCGCAGAAGCATCTGCTCTGCTAGCCCCGACCCGCACCCGCGACGTCAGAGGCCCAGGCCAGAGGGCACAGGCTGGTACTCACCGGAATGCTTCTTCAGGGCATCCTGGATGGTGATGAAGTTCTTCAGGGACTTGGACATCTTGCAGCCTGCGATGGTCAGGTGGCCCGTGTGCAGGAAGTACCTGACCCAACAGTCGTTTTCAAAGTAGGCCTGAGGGGGACGGGGCGGGGGTGTCATGGCCTGTGCAGGCAGAGCGGGAGGTGTGTGTGCGTGTGAGGTCATCCTCTCTCGCTACTGTGCCCACCCCCAGGCCTGACTCCTGGAAGGAGCTGCCAGGTCAGGGCCAGCCACTGACCAACGGGCTGGCCAGTGTCCGTTCCATGGTGGGGTGGTTCAGACCACAGGAAGACGCTACCAGAATTCACGCGGAGATCATAACGGTCAGCACCTTGTCTCTGTCCACAGGGTCAGTGTCCCCGCCTCAGACCAGGTCAGCTTGCTTCACGCCCCTGACTCCCAGTGCTGAGGCCCCCACCTCGGACCAGGCCCGCCAGGCTCACCCCTTGTCCCCATGGCGCCCAGGCCCCTCACCTTGGACCGGGCCGGCTCACTTCAGCCCCCTAACCCCACGGCACAGCGCCCCTCACCTCAGACTGGGCCAGCTCATTGTCGTGGTGGGGGAAGCGGAGGTCGAAACCGCCCCCATGGATGTCCATCGAGGCCCCCAACAAGGTACTCGCCATGGCAGAGCACTCGATGTGCCAGCCTGGGCGGCCCTGGGAGACGGAAGAGCCGGTTACCACTCACTGACCCCGAGGCCGTGGACCCTGGAGCCCACGTTGACCGGGTGCTGCTGGCCTCATGAACAGGAGTGACAGAAAATTCAGAGATGTGACAAAGGAGGGGAGGCCTCTGCCCATCAGCCCTCCTGAGGGCAGTGGAGCCAGCACCCCCAACCCTCAGATCACAGACCGGAGGCTGAGAAAGAGCTGGAAGCCCCGCACCCACGCCAGGCGTCCCTGTGGGGCCTGCCACGGACCTTGGTCTTCACACACACCCACACTGGGCTCCTTCCTGGTCTCCCCCTCCTCACCCGTCCCCAAGGTTCTCCTCCTCACCTGCCCCTCGCAGGACTCCCGTTCCCATCCCCTCCTCATCCCCCGCCCTGGACTCCCCTCCTCACCCGTCCCCAGGGGCACGGCCATGAAGGTTCCCCGGGTTTGGAGGCCTTCCACAGGGCAAAGTCGCTGGGTGACCGCTTCTCACTCAGGCGTTCGGCAGACACGCTCAGGTCACCTGTGGACAAGGAGGGCGCTGTCATTCAGTGCAGCCCACTGTCACACCACACCATCAGCCACTGCCAGCCTCACGCTGCCCTGTCCACGCAGCCCCTCACTGACCCATAATGTCCAGTCAGGGCACTTCCTCTAACACTGAACTCCAACAGCACATACCTGCCACCTGCCCACACAGGGGCGCAGCCAGGGGCATGGGGGCCAAGGGGCCACGTCCACCCTCTGCTCACGTAAGTGTGGGGTTATGCTGAGCCGAGCAAGGGAGCATGTCTTCCTGCTGCAGCCCCAATCCTGGTCAACGGCTCGCAGGACGCAGTCAGCGCTCACTTGTCCTACAACAGCCCAGCTCTGCCCTCCAGCCCCCCAAAGAGGACACCTGCCATGGGCTGGCATGAGCTATGAGACCACCAGACCACAGGACCTGGGGGGACTCTACGTGGACGCCACATCTGAGTCAGCGACTCTCCTGCATGGAATTTGGAGGGTGGCATGGCCGTGGAACAGCTGTGGCTCCAGGGGCCGTGTGCACGCAGAGCCTCACACTCAGATATGTTTCCCTTTTCAACCTGTCACCATGGATGCAACTGTCCACGGATAGTTTAAACGATGGACGTGCAGAAGATCTCAAAGGGCAGCTCAAGAAGACCAAGTCTACGTCTACGATGAAATGCGTAAAGATGCAGCTGGAGAACAGCGAGGGACGCTTCACGAGGGGAGAGGCCTGAAGTAAAGGTTTACGCCTTGAGCGGCCAGGCCCGTGGACTGTGTGGGCAAAGCGCCGAGCGACACAGGAAGAGCCGACGAAAACACCAGGAACACAGTCTCTGTGCCTGAGCCGGTCCAGACTCCCACATGCTGGTAAAAGCGCCTGCTCCCTCCTGGTTCACTGTCCTGTGTCCTCAGAGGCCGCCACGAAGTCAGCCTGCTGACCTCCAGGGGCAGTGTTGGAGGGTCTTTTGTCCACGCCCAGCGCCTCCTGGACTGCCTGCTCAGCCTGCCTCAGTGGCGAGAATCCAGAGAAAGCTGGGGCTCCCAGCGTCACCTCTTGCTCTTAGGAGAACCCGAGGTTTGGCCGAGGCCAGCCTTCACTTTCCGGCCATCTGGGACAGTGGGCGGGCCAGTGCTGGGCTCTCCCCAAGAGGTGTGGGTGGACACCATCAGCGTCCCTCCCTGTCAGGTGCTGCGGTCCCCTGCTTTCCCGGGGATGCACACCGACCCTGAACTGCCTTGTGGGGTGAAGGAAGCAGGGACATCTGAGCACAGGCAAGATGGGGCAGGGACAGGAGTGGACCTGGAGAGCCAGGCTACAGTACCCAGGGATGTGGGCAGTGAGACTGCTGTGGGAACCTGGGCACCTGGGCCGGGGGACTCCCTGCCATGCCGTCCGTCTTCCGAGGATTCCTGGTTGGAAAGATCTCACTCTTTCACTCTCTGTCCTGTCTAGACTCTAGCAGCCATCTGTCCGTCAGTCATGGTGTGGGGCTTGTGTGTGGCTGGTGTGGAAGTTTTATCACTGGTATTTCAAACACCAGGAGGACACGCAGGGTGGACAGGATACGGTGGAACTTCCAGATCAGTACAGACTGGGAAGCTGGCTGGCCATCTGCTTCTGAAATAACAAGTCCCTGAAAACCATAAGGGTAGAGCAGGGCTCTGCTGGACACCGTGGCCGGGGTGTTGCTGGACACTGTAGCGTGGAGTTCTGCTGGACACTGTGGTTCAAGGCGCTCCTGGACATTGCACCAGATGAGTCCTCAGCTAGAAGGCGCTCAAAACACCAACGTGGACGAGTGGACTCCTCACAGCAGAACCACTGCCGGCAAGTCGTAACCGACTCAGAGCTGACCGTCCACTGGGTTTCGGGGGCTCCAGGCTGGCTGGGAGGGGCTGCCCGTCTTTCGTCTGGGGAGCACCTGGTGTCTGCCTTAACAATGCGGACAGTGCAAAGCTCTCACCCAAGGACGGATCTTCGTATGCTGATGTGACAGGACCCAAAATGAGGAGAATCAGTGGCAGACATCTGAAGAACTGCAATGTCTGTGGTCGGGTGACCCCTGGAATCCACACACAGCTGACCTCCCAGGGGGTACTCAGAGGACATGAATCACGTGGGAGGAGAGTGCCCATCTTTCTCTCAGGGAGTAGCTGATGCATTCGAACCTGTGGTTTCGCCGGCCAGCTCATTACCGACCAGGCCAGCAGAACTCCCTATCTGTAAGGTAGATGTTTAGATCTGGGAAAACGGGAAGCTGTGAAGAATGAAGCGAACTACATAACGACTGCTACCCTGGTATTAGTCAAGTGGGTGGTCTGGTACTGGCCATTCTGCACTGGAGAATCCCACGGTCCACTACGGCAGAGCAACAAACTAAAGACACGCCGCTGCCACTACTTAAGGGACAGCCTACGATCCAATGAGAACCTGAGCGCTGTCAGTGACAGGACGGTATCTACAGGACTCAAGGAAGACCACTGGATGACCATTGTTGTTGTTGTTATGTGCAGTCGAGTAGCTTGCGACTCATAGCGACCCTATGTACAATAGCCCTAAACTCCGCTCTGTCCTGTGTCAATAGCACTGCCTCTGACACTCTCATCCCAATTACCCCAGTCACTGAATCAATCCTCCTCATAGAGGGCCTTCCCCTCCTGCGCTGTCCCTCCACCCTACCAAGCATGATGTCTCTCTCCAAGTACTGGTCTCTCCTCACAACATGTCCAAAGTATGTTAGACGAAGACCCAGAATCCTTGCCTCCAAGGAGCCGCCCGATTAAACCCTCTCCAGGATGGACCTGTTTGTTTTCTTGGCAGTCCATGGTACATTCAATACTCTTCTCCAGCACCACAGCTCAAAGGCATCAATTCTCCTTCTATTCTCCCTAGTCATTGTCCAACTCTCTGATGCATAACAAGTGATCGCAAAGACCATGGCCTGTATCAGATGCACTAGAGACACTATATTGCTCTTCAGAACTTTGGGAAGGTCCCTAACAGCAGACTTTCCCAAGGCAATAAGTCTTTCAATTTCCTGGCTGCTGGTGCCAAGAGTGTTAACTGTGGAGCCAAGCAAACTAAAGCTGTGAACAATCTCAATCTCTTCGCCATCCATCCTGATGCTGCCAATTGGTCCAGTGGTGAGAATCTTTGTCTTCTTTTTTTATTTTTTATTTTATTTATTTTTTTTAATCTTTGTCTTCTTGACATTGAGCCTCAATCCATATTGGAGGCTGCAGTCCTTGACCCTCTGCAGCAGGTGCTTCAGGTCCTCTTCAGTTTCAGCAAGAAGGGTTGTGTCATCTGCATAACGCAGATTGTTGGTAGATCTTCCACCAATCTTGACCCTACATTTCTCCTCATAGAGCCCAGCCTCCCAGATGATCTATTCTGCATACAGGTTGAAAAGGTATGGAGACAGGACACATCCCTGGCGTATGCCCTTCCCCATTTTGAGCCATGCAGTGTTAACCTGCTCTGTTCTGATGACTGCTTCTGGGTCCAAGTATAGGTTTTGCATTAGCACAATCAAGTGTTCTGGGATTCCCATTTCTTCTCAGAATCAGCCACAGTTTGTTGTGATCCACACAGCCTTTGCACAATCAATGAAACATAGATAGACATTCTTCTGGTATTCCCTGCTTTCAGTTAAGATTCATTCAACGTCAGCTACAATATCCCTAGTACCACGACCCCTTCTAAACCCAGCCTGGACTTCTGGTAGTTCTCTGTTGATGTGCTTTTCCAGTCGTTTTTGGATAATCTTCAGTAGAATCTTGCTTGCATGTGAAATCAATGATATTGTTCCATAGTTTCCACACTCTGTTGGGTCACCCCTCTTTCGGATGGGAACAAATATAGATCTCTTCCAGTCAGTTGGCCAAGTGGTTGTTCTCCAGATTTCTTGGCACAACCATTAATACCACTTAAGAACCAATCACAGAAGGAAGACAGGAGGGTTTCTACATGTTCCTGTCATCTGAACTGATCACACGCACTGATGACAACTCCTGGCGACTGGAGCCAGGACCCCGCTGGCACAGCACTTACCAAGAAGTCAGAGGTTCAAACCTACCGACGGGTCTGAGGGAGAAAGGTGGGTGTGCCCTTCCATAAAGACTTAGAGCTTGGAACCTGAGAGAGGGTGTCAACAGCTGCAATCAACTTGTGAACAGCGGGGGAGACTGAAGCTGTGTCAGAAACGAGGAAGAACCAGTGGTTGGAAAATAGGGCTTTGGCGCTGGGAATGAGGCCAGAGATCACATGACAGCAGTTCCTGGGCCCAACGACTCTGTCATTTCAAACACTGTTTTTAAATCCATAAATAAGCTCTATTTTATAAGAGCAATGTTACGCAGTAGTGGTCCTTGAGACATTTCTCAGTATCCTGTCCTACAGGCTCCCTCATGTGTTTTGCTTCAGATGAGGAGGGGAACCGGCTGACAGGAGCGGACCTTCAGGCATTTTACGCATGACGACAGCTGCAGCGGGAGGTGCCTCGCAAAGTGGAAGGGGGAGGGAAGAAAACGTGCCCCAGTGAACGAATGGGCATAATAAAAGCAGGGACAGTGACTACGTGCAGGGACCCCAGCAGACGGGACACAGAGGAGTCAGACTGATCTCGCCTGTGGAAGAGACGATGGAGAAGCTCGAGATGACCAGTCAGAACAAAACCAGGAGGAGCCTGTGGAACAGACCCTCAACTGCTCACATACAAGTTCAAAGACAAGCGCAGTAAAACCAAAAAAGTCTACAAGAGTCAAACTATGACACCGAGTACATCCCACCGGGAATTCGAGATCTTCTTAAGAACAAAGGTTGAGACCCGAATCTGGAGGTGGAGAAACAACAGGGGGAGCACACTCGGCACTTCACAAGCTGAGAGAACCAGAGAGGAAAGTGAGGCCTCAAGCTGTGACAGTAAACAGATTCTGTGGCAAAACACACAAACGATGAAGGAGCATTGAAGACAGACAGACAGTAAAAACAAACACAGAAAAAAGATTAGAAAAGTAAGTGATCCAACAGAATTAAGGATTATCCAACACTCCCTTTACCGTCCCGGGCAGGTACACCTTCCTGTAGACAAAGAAGCCGAGCCCTCTCTGACAGCTGCCCGGAGGCCAAGATGTCGCTGTCAGGAGGTACCGAGAGGGCCTGCAGCTAAGGACGTCACTGCAATGTCACCCAGACCTTGGCTGAAAGCAGAGAATACCGGAAAGAGGGTTTCACTGGCGCTGTAGGACTGTACAAGGGCCTGTGTGGATCCTAGTCATAATGGATGATGTTGGGAAGAATGGGAATTCCAGGACACTATCCTACGCTCATGCAGAACCTGTACCTGAACCAAGGAGCAGTTGTTTGAGAAGGAAAAAGGAACGCTGCATGGTTCAAAATGAGGAAAGATACACATCAGAGTTGTAGCCTTTCAACATGCTCATCCAATCTGTAAACTGAGTCAATAATTTAAAAAGTTGGGACTATATGAAGAAAAACATGGTAGTAACTGGAGAGCAATGATGTCAGGCTGGAGATTAAGGTGCGCCTGATCCAGGCCATAGACTTCTCAATTTCATGCTATGCGTCAGAGAGCTGGACAGTGTCTAGGGATGACAGAAAGAGAACTGATCCCTTTGAGCTGTGGTGCTGGAGAAGAGTGTTGAATCTACTGCGGACTGCTAGGAGAACAAACAGGTTTGTGCTAGACAGGGTGAGATCAGACTGTTCCTTGGAGGCAAGGATTCTGAAGCTTCGTCTGAGATACTCTGGACATGTTGTAAGGAGGGACCAGTCCTTGGAGAGGATGTCATGCTTGGGAGGGTGGAGGGACAGTGCAGGAGAGAAGGCCCTCTATGAGACGGAATGATTCAGTGACTGGGGTAATGGGAGTAGATGTGTCAGAGATGGTGAGGTTGGCTCAGGATAGAGCAGCCTTTACGGCTCTTGTACATAGGGTCGCTCTAAGTTGCAAGTGACTTGACGGCACATTAACAACAACAACAATTACATTATGCACATGACACAAACTTGCTTATGTGAAGCGATGAGGACTTGACACAAAGATTACAGCCTTCAATACGGTTGCAATTCTGCATGAAGACGACAAATATCCTTACACAGAGCCCAATAAGAAACATCATGATAAACAGAGAAGAGACTGAAGTGTCAATGATTCCATTTTACTTGGGTTCACAGTCAACACTAATGGCAGCAGCAGTCAAGAAATCAAGACTTTGTGGAGATCTGCTGTCAAGCACCTCTTTAAATGACAAAAGAGCAAGGATGTCACTTTGAGAACTAGGGTGTGCCTGACCCAAGCCCTGGTAGTTTCAACTGCTTCACATGCACGTGAAAGCCGGCCAATGAAGAAGGAAGCAGGAAGAAGAACTGATGCCGTTGAATCATGTGTTGGTGAGGACGACTGAATGGACAGAAGAATACACAAACCTGTGTGGAAGAGGGCCACCACGGGCCTTTTCTTTTAAAGAACTCATGGTGAAGAGAACCACCGCATTTCTCTCAGGTGGAAACAGCACAGCTGCTCCTTAGGACCCTAAGCGACAGACCTGTACATGCTGCGGGCCTGGGGACACGCAGGGCATCACGTCTCACCTTCCCCCTCCTGAAGGGCCTTCTGGTCTCCCACGGCTTCCGGCACCAGCTTCGCATAGGAGTGCTTCTCACTGGAGGCAAACTTGACCGTGTCAAAGTAGACAGAGCCATTGGAGACGTAGCTAGGACAGAGAAAGTGGACGGTTTGGGTTGACAGAGCGAGGGAGGTGGCCCTTGTGGCTCCCAGCCTTGTGGCCTAGTGTCCCTCACCCCCTTGTTGAGGTCCCTGTGCTGTGTCCTCCCTGGGTTTCTCCTTGTACCTAGAGAGAGAAGACCCTGCACCACCACAGTCTCCCTCGTGCAGCAGAGAAGGCCACCCCGTCCCAGGCTGGTGACCCTGGGGACATGGGTTAGTCTGCCACAGCTACTGAGCTGTTGTTCTCTGCTCCTGCCCTCTTGGTCTGTTAATGGTTAGGCCCTAGAGGTTCTGAGAGGCCCCCGGAAACCGCATCGGCCGAGAGCTGAGTGGGCACATGGCGAGGTGTGCAGGTCACTTCCTCGATCGGATGTCCTTGCTGCCCTGTGGGAAACCACCCTCTGGCCCACACGCATGCCTGGATGTTCTGATGAGTGGGAGATACTGAGCCCGGGAGTTCAGGCAGCATGTGGCCAGCTGACCAGCAGGTGGATGCCTCCTGCGTATGTGTTTGCAGGGAGAGGAGGGGATGAACCCACCCTGCTCTGGGGACTTCCATGCCACTGCGCCCTGTTCAGCTGCACATCTGGGCCTGCAGGCCCGTTGGAAACAAGATTTTCTCTGCTGTCAATAAGATTGTGTCTAAACCCAACCACTTCTGAGTTATGTAGAGAGCAAATCACACACACACACACACACACACACACACACACATTGTGTGAGGCTGGATCACAAACCAAATGACGACAGGGACTCAGTCTGCAGACAAGGTGGAAAGTGGCCCTGCTGAGCACTGCCTGGGTCCCCCGAGCCCGGCCTGGGTCCCCCGAGCCCGGCCTGGGTCCCCCGAGCCCGGCCTGGGTCCCCCGAGCCCGGCCTGGGTCCCCCGAGCCCGGCCTGGGTCCCCCGAGCCCGGCCTGGGTCCCCTGAGCCCGGCTTGGGTCCACAGAGCCCTGCCTAGGCCCCCTGAGCTCAGAGCTATGACAACAGGGTTAGCAGCTCTTTGAGCCACCTGCTGGAGAATATGTGTCACAGCAGGCCCAGGTGACCCCGTGATGCCTGACTGATGCCTGTCTCAGGCCAGAGGGCTGACGTGGGGTGTAAGGTCACGCCCTTCTGAACCACATCCTCCTCTCTCACAGCACTGAGGGGACCCTGAGTGGAACGTCAAGTGCCCTGGGGCGGCCCTCACCCTTACCCATAGCCGTTGTCCACAATCCTCTGCACGAAGTGGACGATCTCTGGCACGTATTCACTGACCCGCGTTAGGACGTCTGGAGGGAGGACCTGTGGGAGCAAGGAATTCCGGGGTGCTTTCCTTCCTCTGATCTGCAGTCAAGGCAATGGGATGACATCACAGAGCTGGGGAGCCAAGGGGTCTGGACCACGTGGGGGCCGCACTCACGTTCAGAGCCGCCATGTCCCTGTGGAACGCTTCCTCCCAGAACTTGGGCAGTTCAGAGAAGATGGAATTGTCGGTCACCTCGCTGCCAAACCTTGAGTCCAGCCACTCAGACAGCAGGTCCTTGGCCGCTTCCAGCAGGACCTGGCAGGAAGGCACAGGGAGCGTGAGTCAGTGCTCAGCCCACAGCGAGTGTGGCAGGGCTGGTGGGCTGAGGGCTGGCACTCAAAGCCCTGCAGCCCCCACTACCAAGGAGTCCTTACAGGGTGTACGCCCACAAGACAGCTCAACGCCGAGACACAACATGGCCCCCACACAGGGGGCCTGCCAGTGAGAGGCTGAAAAGCTGGCAAGTAGGACAGCGCACCCAGAGGCTTGAGGGTGCAGGGTATGGACCCTGTGAACTGGGCTCAGTGTGGGTTTGTGGGGTGAGACGTGGCAGGAACGGGTGGTCAGTGGCAGTGTGGACTCCTGACGGGAAAGGTCACAGAGAGACGCCCTCAGAGAAGAGCTGTCAGCTCAGAGGCCCCCGTGGCCAGAGAAAGTGTTGCCACCCATGGGGGGGGGCGGGCAAAGCCCGAAAGGGGGCCTCAGAGGGACGGGGGGAACACTGCCCACGAGAGCAGGTGAGTTCAGTCACCACCGGGCAGTGCCTGCAGCACAAGGGGACTGGGCCCTCGCGAGCAGGGCAAGCGCCCCCATCACATCCAACTGCACAAACGAGATGAAGCCTGGGCACAGAGAACGTGCTTGGCTGGTAACCAGAGGCGCAGGGATCACCTGTCGCCGTGACACCGCGGTAAAAACGCTGGGCTTTTGAGAGCTGATGGGGAAATGAAAGGAAATGAGTGACGGGGAACGTGGCCTTACAGCGTGGGTGTGTGAAATCAACGCTTTAGGACAGAGTGTGTACAAACGGCTGAATGAGAAATAAGCTTTATAAACCTCTGCTCAGTTCATAATATAAAGCTGTTTATGCATCAACAATCCTAAACAACCCTACAGAGTACTAGGAAACACCCTCCTGGGATTCTCAGCTGTCACCAACATCCATCCGTCTGACATAAGCGATATATCCCTCACGTCACGGCCTTTCTCCATACCTACTCGACTGCATGCTAAGCACATCATTTGGGAAGCTGGACTCTATGAAGAAACACGTGGCATCAGGATCACAGAAAGACTCATCAACAACCTGCACTACACAGATGACACAGCCGTGCTGTGGAAAGTGGACTCAAAGCACTGGAGGTCTTCAACCTGGATCACATTTCAGCATCAAGAAAATAAAAATCCTCACAATCGGTAGATGGAGAAAAGATTGAAAAATGCCAAGGATTTAATTTACTTCAATCTACAATTAACATCCATGGTAACAGCAGTCAAGGAATCAAAAGACCACCTCAACAAGATAAACAAGCCAATCGTAAAACAGGCACAGGATATGGAGAGACCTTCACTGAAGGAGACACGCGGATGGCCAACAAACATGAAGAAATGGCCAAAATCCCAGCTCTGAAAGAGATGCAAATCAAAACAACTAGGAGATGTCATCTCACCCCAGGAACAACAGCAAAGTTCAACAGAGCAGCAAACAGTAAATGCTGGCGAGGTTGTGGAGAGATTGGAACTCTTATTCACTGTTGGTGAGAGTGTAAAATGGTGCAACCACTACGGAAGGTGGTTTGTTGCTTTCTCAAAAAATTGAAAATAGAATTAAAACAACTATGAGATATCATCTCACCCAGTCAAAATAGCAAAATTTAACAGAACAGCAAGCAACAAATGCTGGCGAGGTTGTGGAGAAACTGGAACCCTGATTCACTGTTGGTGGGAGTGTAAAATGGTGCAACCCCTGTGGAAAGCAGTTTGGCGCTTTCTCAAAAAGTTGCAAATAGAGATACCATTTGACCCAGCAATTCCACTACTGGGAATATACCCCGAAGAGACCATAACTGACACCCAAGCAGATATATGCACACCCATGTTTATTGCAGCTTTGTTCACAATAGCAAGGAGTTGGAAACAACCTAAGTGCCCATCAACAAACGAATGGCTAGAGAAGCTGTGGTATATTCGCACAATGGAATACTATGCTGCATTAAAAAACAAGGAACTCATGCAAAATTATTCAAAATGGTTGACTCTGGAGAACATTATGCTGAGTGAAATGTCCCAGTCACAAAGGGACAAATATTGTATGGTGCCACTGTTGTAGAATGGGACTGTCCTTGGGGTTGGGGAGAGACTGAGTAAGATGGGTTCAATAATGTATACTGCACTGAAACAGAGAAGGGAGAAAACTGTTTAAAAGAGATATGTGATTAGGTATTTCTGTCATGACAGAAGTCTAGAGCGATGGCTACACAGTGGAGTGGACCTGGGGGAGGGTTTGTAAAATAATGAAAGAATCTTTTCTTTTACTTTTCCAAGAGGGTAATGTCTGGTGGGGGGGAGTCTTGGGAGGGGACAGATCTACAACAATGAATGAATGGAAATCCAAAGCCTCTGTAAATTTTCACTGAAATTAATAACAAATTTAAATAAAAAAAAAGAATTAAGTTAGAGTAAGGATGGCAATGGAACCACCTTACCTCTGTAACTTGATTTGTGCCACTATTAGAACCTCTCCTCAGAATATTATTGCTTTTCAATTTTTGACTCATGCACTTTTAACTTGTTAGTTAAATTTGTATCTTCTAGGCTGCAACACTTCCATGATACATCTTCAAGGATATGAATGTGTACGGCTAAGCACAATTGTTAACAGTGCATCTAAATTCCAAAATCAATCTCCATAATAGTCTATGTGTTTCCTACTGCCAAGGGGGCCCTTTAGAGTAGTGAGAGAAGACATTCACCCTGAAACCCACAGCGTCCCTTTTCAGCAGGAAGTAGCTAAGAGAATACACCATCCCCTTTTCCTTATGAATCAGGGTGAAGTCTCTCTCAGGGAGGAGTGATAGGGAATGGCAAGGGACACACTGACAAAGGAGATTAATCAGAACTGGCTTTGACAAGCACGGTGGCAATTGGACAATTAAAACAGACATGGGGGGGGGAAAGAAGAACGAACTGGGGAGGAGGATGGAGAAAACAGTGCAACAATGAATGAATGAAAAAAAGAGAAAAAAAAACCAAAAAAAATTGAAAATAGAAATACCATTTGACCCAGCAATTCCACTACTGGGAATATACTTCAAAGAAAGCATAACCCCCACCCAAGTGGATATAAGCACACCCGTGTTTATTTATTTATTTTTTTTGCACACCCGTGTTTATCGATGCTTTGTGTATCACACTGAGTGAAATATCTCAGTCACAAAAGAACTAACACCGCCTAGCCTCACGGTTATAGAGCAGGGCTGACATGGGGGGTTGGGAGGAGAGCAGGACAACAGTGGATACATAACGACTACTGCGTTGTAACAGAGGAATGAAAGAACTATCTAAAACTTAAGCATTACATGTAGCCCAGAAAAAGAGATACATCACTGCAAAGAGGGGGGGGGGAGGGTAGGTAATTGTGCAACAATGAATATTTTTTTAAAAAAGTAAACTGGGAGAGGGGAGGGGAGGGCAAGGAGGTAAGACTGCAACAATGAATGAATGAAAATCTAACTTCTCTGTAAATGTTCATTAAAATCACAAGTAAAATAAAATTTGGTTTTACAAAAAAAATCAAAAGACACTGGGAAAATCTGATATCAAAGATCTCTCTAAAGTCCTTGGAAAGAGTATTCTTGGACAGCAAGGATGTCAGTTTAAAGGCTAAGGTGCCCCTGCTCTAAGTACAGTATTTTCAACGGCTACCTATGCATATGAAAGTTGGATAACGAAAAAGGCAGACTGAGTAGACTTGATACCTTTGAATCCTGTTGCCGGGACAAGAACACTGACGGTTACGTGAACTGCCAAGAGAAGAAACCAGCCTGTCCTGGAAGGAACCAGGGTGCTCTTTCGGGGTAAGGGCGGTGAAACTTGGTCTCACATGCTCAGGGCATGTGGTCAGGAGGGACCGTGTGTGGAAGGAGATCAAGGTGAGAAGATTGAGAGTCAGGGAAAGAAAGGCCTCCGGCGAGGTGGAGTGACAGGTGAAGATGAGCGTGTCTGAGGCTGTGAGGATGGAGTAGGGTCGGGCAGGTTCCCCCCGCTGATCCTAAGGTCATGGCGAGGTGGGAATGGACAATGTGTCTGAGGCTGCAAGGACAGTACAGGGTAGGACAGGTCCCCTGCACTGATCCTAAGGTCATGGCGAGGTGGGACTGGACGATGTGTCTGAGGCTGTGAGGACGAGGTCGCAGGGTCAGGCAGGGTCCTGCCTGCTGATCCTAAGGTCAGTGAGAGGTGGGACTGGATGACACGTAACAACAGATGACCGTTCTTTTTCTGACACACATGGTGCTGCCCTGAGCAGGAATCAGCTCAGTAGCAACTGACACACATCCAAGCCTGAACTCCAGCCCAAACTGTTAACAGCTTCCAGACCTGCCTGGCAAGGTACCCGCCCAGCATGCACACCCCCAGGCCTCTCAGGGACTGCAGGGGCCTCTGCCCGGCTCGACTCCTAGCCCAGCTGCGGTGAGCACCAGAGCAGGGCTGGAAGGACTGCTCTGCTCTGGTGGGAGTCTGCTGTACCCCCAGGAACCCGGGCCTGGCCCCAGCCCCGCGGGTGGGCATCTCCCGGGCGGGCCAGCGACCCACTCTTGACCAAGCCCACTAAAGCTGAGAAGCGCCGAGCCTCGGGACCCACTGAGGAAGAAGAGTAACGGGGAAGGACGCGAGGGGGCCTCAAGAGCCGAGAAACTCGTGGGCTGTGGGTAAACCGAGACTCACAGTGGGGATCCCTGCCGACCCCCGCTCATGGCGCCCCCTGGAGTGACAGAGCAGAAGGCGCCACGGACGGCCGAGGGCTGGCTTCCTGAGAGATGACCTGGCCTCTCTTCCCAGGTGCCCGGGTGGCCTTCCGCCTCCATCCAGTCAGCGAGCAGCTGAGTGAGGAGGAAGCAGGATGGAGTGTGTCCACCCAGGGACTGTGACAGCGTGAAAGCTCAGGAACCCGTGGGGCAGCGGCACAGGCCTGGCCGATCCCTGGGAATCAGACTTGACGAGGTGGAAGGGTTTTCAGTTGAGCAGAACTGCTCTCAAAGTCCCTGTACAGCCTGGGCAAGCAGGCGGATGGGTGGGCAGGCCACGGAGCTGGGTCAACACCACCACTCCTAGGGCCACCAGCACGAGAACAAAAAGGAGACACAAGCATGCACACAGAAGTAGGAGATGCCGACTGAGAGAGCACAGGCCCATGCCAGACAGAGAGCAAAGGGCCTCGGCCTCCTCACAGGGACAGGCCCCGTGAGACTGGCTTCTCACAGCTCCAGGACGTCAGGTCACTGCGTCACGCAGCCCACAAAGACAACGCTCTAGGTCCTACTCTGCTAAGCAGTGACTGGGATCTGAAAGCCTGTGAGCAGACACGGATGGTCGCTCTCTGCCTGGAACAAAGAGGAGGAGGAAACGGCAGACGCGCCGAGACAAGGAGCCCAAAGCACTGACGGAGCGGGAGAACCCAGCCTCCAGGACCCAGACGTCTGCCAGAAGCAGACGGTGCCCAGCTACGACAGCTGGCCACTCTCAAAGCAATCACAGTAGAAGGTCCTGGAGTATCTGGAATGAAATGAAAAGCTACATAAAGGGCGAGTCTAGTAGTGGTATACCCCTGAGACTGTGGCCTTTAGCCATCCTGAAGCCTGGAACAGAAATGACCCCCAGGGCCCAAGTTTCAGTCAAACCACAATCGCCAGGCCTGGACAGTGGCCAGGAACACCAGTGAGGCAATCACTCCTTTCAGAACGCACTGCGTAAAGTCAAAAGAGCCTCACCTCCGCACAGCGGCTGGTCTCCTCGGGGGGCAGCTGGGCGGCCAAGGCGCTCCTGAGCGGCTCTGCCGCGAGCTCCACGCTGTGCTGGGTCCGCTCTAGCAGCTGCCTCTTGTCGGGGTCTGTGGTCTCCTTCAGCCTCGTGGAGAATGGCTGTGGGGGGGGACAGTGAGCATCAGAGCCTGTCCGGCTGTGGGAGGGGACGGGGAACATCAGAGCCTGCCCTGCTGGATGGGGAGGGAACGGTGAACATCTGAGCCTGCCCAGCTGTGGGAGGGGACTGGGAGCACCAGAGCCTGCCCGGCCGCGGCATGGGACGGGGAGCACCAGAGCCTGCCCAGCAGAGCCCATTAGCATGTGGCTCAATGCCTGGGGCTCTTCCCTGTTCTTGGGGTGGTGGATTCAGGAGGGTTGCAAGGCATCACCCCGCTGCTGGCTCTGGGCAGGGCCTCACTCTGTGCCTCAGTTTTGAGAGCAGCAGTGCGTGCAAGGCTATTGGCAGGAGCCCAGTAAGCCTGCCACTCTGTGGAGATGCAGCCCAAGGGAAACAGGGGTCTCCTGGGCCCTGTATGCCCACTTCTGCCCACCCCGCTGGGAAGAGTCTCCAGCCCTGTATCTGGCCCGTGGGCCCGAGAGTGCAGCCCTGTGTCCTGTTTTCCTTCCGGAGGCAGAAGGTAATTCCTGCACAAATGGACAAAGGACCCATCCTGACCTCCCCAGCAAGGAGCAAAATTGAAACAAACATATACGAATTGTGTATGCAAATCAATATAAAATTTTAAAAAAACTGACACCACACAGATTAAAGCCAGTGTGGACAGCCCCGCCATGTGCACTGCAGACCATGGCTGAGGCTGGGCCCTGGGCTGTTGTCCTGTCACAGGGCTGTACAGTTGGGCTCCACTGGACAGCACCTAAGGACAGCTTCAGTGACGCGGTCACCCCCGACCCGGTGTCACTGTGGCACGTGTGGCTGGGTGCAGCCCTGACATCACAAGCTGGCGGGGTGGTGGAAGCCGGGAACAGCGGGCAGAGCGGCCGTGCAGGGCCCATGACCCTCTACACTCCCACCACATGTCTTTGCTGGTGACGTCCCCAGGAAGGACTTCCTTTCCTGGTGACCCTGACAGCCGGCTTTAGGGCAAGCACCAGTGTGGACAGGCTACGCTTGAGCCAGGGCCCACAGCCAGCCCAGGGCCGGCGGTCTAGGGCGGACAGAAGGTACCTGCAAGGCACTGCACACGTCCTCCAGGAGCTCAGCTGCCTGCGGCTGCTTCTCCCGGTACCGCTGGAAGAGGTGGTTCTGCCGCGCTCGCCTGATGATCTGGGGAGAAAGACGCGCTAGGCAGGCTCCCTGCGGGAGCATCTGACCCCCACACTGCTGGGCTCCCCTCGGGGAACACGTGCCGCCTGGTACAGAGTGGAGCTCTCCCAAGGCACACTTCCCCTCAGCACAGCAGGCAGACCTGCCCTGGTGGGGAAGGCAGGGGGACGGGGAGGGTCTGCAGGTGAGCCCCCACTGCTTCCAGCACCCAGGAACATGCTGGACACAGCAGGAGTCAGGACACAGGACGCTGAGCCAGCCTCATTGTCTCTGCAGCTGCGGAACACCCTGTCTCCGCCCACCCCGTAATGCCCCGTCTGGAAGATAACCACGTGCTAAGTGCCGGCTTCGCCCTGAGCTTGTGCTCTGGACGCTCACCGTCTCCTGCTGGGGAGCTGTTGCAGCCTGGGGGGGGGGGCAGTCTGGCCGCATCCCCCATCCTTTACCTACTCCTCCCGAAGTCCCCCCTCCCCATGCTAATCTGTCTTCAGAACTGAAGGCCTCACCTTATCATCGATGTCCGTGATGTTCATGCAGTAGAAGACGTCATACTTGAAGTAATCTCTCAGCACTCTTCTCAGGATGTCGAAGGAGATGTAGGACCTGGAGAGGAGGCCACACGGTTGACATGTGCCCACGGCATTCCCGTGGCTGCCCAGAGCGTCCAGTGAAGAGACAGGGACACTGCCCAGCTGCAGCTGCTCCGTACAGCTACCCTCTGTGGTCAAGTCAGGGCCACCTCGGCCTCAGGTCTGAGGTTCACAGGCATCCCACCTGAGCTTGAGGAGAGTGTTTAAATGACAGAGATTAACCACGGAGAGGCCCTGGTGGCACAGTGATCAAAGCACTGAGCTGCCAACCAGCTGTTTCAGGGAGACCAGTGTGACCACCTGCTTCTGTAAAGGTGACAAATCTGGAAATCTTTTGGGGACAATATTACTCTGTCCTCCAGGGTCGCCAGGGGTCGGGACTGGTTGAGTGGCGGGGGCGATGGTGTTTCTTCAGATTAACAACAAAGCTATGAAGGAGCCTTCTCTGGGGCTGCCGGCACCCCCTAATCCTCCAGTGAATATAGACTGCACGTGTAACCGAAAATCTGGTTTTAAAGACAAGAAGTCTGAGCATAAACCCGAAAAATGTGGAAGCAGGGACTCAGACAGACACTGGGACACTACGTGTCCACGCAGTGCTTTTCTCAACCACCAGAAGGTGGACATGACCTTCAACGCTAGCATCAATGAACACAGCAGTGGGCAGTCCCTCTGTGCAGTGGACGCTCCTGGCCCCGCTAGCACACAGGTGCTGGGGAGACCCATCAGACAGAAAGGTCAAACACTGCACGACGCCACAGTCTGTCAGTGGCCGCCAGGGGGGCATGATGGGAACAGTTATTTAAGGAGCTTGGCTTCTGTCAGGGGCACCGAGAACCGTGCACACTCTTGGTGGTGCCCTGGCCACGCGACTGTCACTAATTCCACGGGGTGGTGAGCATGGTCGGCCCGAGCAGGAGTCTTCACTGCGTCGACGTCACGGCAGCTGGATCGGGGATGGGACTCATCTCAGATGGAGGCTTGTTTCTAGCCCCAGTTCTCCTGACCATCCCTTCCTGTGGTGCCTCAGCTCCCGGCCTCCTGGTCCCCCTCGCAAAGCTGACCTCACGTGTGGCCCCTACCTGGCATGCCCCATGTGAGAAGCGTCGTAGACCGTCGGCCCACAGCAGTACCACGTCACCTTCTTCCCGTTCTGAGGTATAAACACGTCCTGCATTAGAAACGGAGGAGTGAAGGTCAGAAGAAATGCAGCAAACACCACATGGTCACCCAGACAGTGACAGACATCACCCTTCGGGTCTGTGTAGTACAGGTCACCACGGACAGTGACAGACCCTTAGGAGGGAAGGACAGCCCTAAGGGTGACAAAGGTGGGCTTTCTCTGCTCAGAGGTGAGGGGTGGCAGGCCTGACCTCCTGGCATGGAGGTGCATTTACGGCTGTCCTGAGGTGCTGATGAAAGGTGAGCGTGACCACCTGGTCCCAGCCTGGGTGACCAGGTGTGCTCACTAAGGAAGACCCAATGAACCCCAAGTGGGGAGCATTTCTAGGTGACCAGGCAGCCGAGTTGTGTCCTGACAGGTATGTCCCAATCCCAGCTGTTTTGGGTCTCAGCCCTGCTGTCTTCTCATTTTGCCCGGAGCCCACCACCTGCTTGTCCTGCCTGGGCCCACTGACCTTTGAACCAGTTACCACCAGGTGATCCTGGCCTGGGCCCATCACTGCCCACAGGCCCTGCCCTGAGCACTTCACCGCCCACTGGCCCTGCCCTGGGCCCGTCACCGCCCACTGGCCCTGCCCTGGGCCCGTCACCGCCCGCTGGCCCTGCCCTGGGCCTGTCACCGCCCGCAGGCCCTGCCTGGCTAAGCGAGGATCCAGGCACGCAGGGGCCCGGTCTGCAGCCCCCGTTACCTTGTTCCGTGTGAGGCTGTTGTAGAGGCGCAGCCTGCACAGCTCGGTGCCCGCTGGTGGTGACCACTGGGGTTGCCCACGCCGGCCTTTACCTGGGGGCAGAGAGAGTGGTCAGAGCCCACACAGGACAGGCTTTGTGCTCTTGTGGTGGGAGTATGACTTTCCAGGAAACTTGAGACGATGTACTCCGGGTGTGTTCCCACAAGTCACCGTGACCCCAAACACCAGAGGGAGAGAGGAGGCTCCTCAACTGGACAGATGACACAGTGACGCTGTCACGGCTCGAGTGCCGGAGACGCTGAGGACGGCCCAGACAGGGCGGGGCGTGATCCCTGAACATGGAGGCACCAGGACGTGCACTCAGTGAAACCCAACAGCAAACGATGATCCTGTCGGTGCACGGACCGCCCCCCACGGTTCCACGCTGTGCTTCTCAGGGACACTGACCACTCACCTTCTGGTTCTCACCAAGCGCTTGACCGACTGTGCCCCAGAGCCCGAGAGCAACGTCCAGATCACAGGCCTCTGCAGCAGCCGTGCTGCCCTGCCCTTCCAGGTGCTGTCCTCCATCCTCATGACGGCGACCTCAAGCCTGACCCTGACTGCAGGAGGCCTGCATGATCTCCCTCCCAGGACACCCCGCTGGTCCTCAGATACAGCTCTCCAGGCCTGGGGTGCTCCACTGCACATGGCCTGTGACCAGGAGGTACCCGAGGCCCAGAAACACACAGTCATGACCTGCCTGCACCCCAGGGCCAGATCAAGGCAGCTGCTGCTGGCACAGACACAGAAGTCGGGGTGCAAGCAGGGGAGCCACCAGGCCCAGGGCCCAGTCAGGGGCCAGAGTTTTTGAACTCCACCCGCAACTGTTTACAAGTCTTTCTTACTTTCAGCAAACAAGGCTGTGTCCGCACTATGCAATACACACATCACGCAGGGGGCGGGTGAGTCTCTAACCCGGACACCACACTCATCTGTAGAGTGCAGCTTCTTGGATCATCTGCTCAGTGTACAGACTGAGGCGCAGAGTGAAAGGATGCCACCAACCCTGACCCACCAGCTCCTGATACAGCCAGGCAGTGTCCCCTTCCCCTGGTCCAGTCACGCCTCCTAGTCGAGGAGGGGGTTTCACGTGAGCACAGCTAAGTGTTCTGGAGTCATCATTCTTCTCAATGTTACCCATAATGTATTATGACCCACACAGTCAAATGCCTTTGCATAATCAATAAAGCACAGTTAAACAGCTTTCTGGTGGTCTCTGCTTTCAGGCAGGATCGATCTGAAATCAGCAGTGATGGCCCTCAGGCCATGCCTTCTTTGGAATCTGGCTTAAATTCCTGGCCATTTCCTGGTAATGTACTGCTCCAGCTGCTTTTAAATTATCTTCAGCAAAATTCTACTTGCTTGTGAAGTGCTATTATCCTAAAATTTTCACCTTCTGCTGGGTCATTCTTCCTTGAGATGGATCTCTTGAAGATGGCTGGCCAGGTGGCCGCCTCCCGAGTGTCTTGGCATAAATGACAGAGTGTGTCTGGCACTGCATCTGTTTTTATTAGTATCCTGTCAATTCCTGGAGTCTTATTTTCTGCCAATGCCTTCGGTGCAGCGTGGACGTCTTCCTCCGGTACCACTGATTCTCGACCATCACTCCTTTTTGAAATGGTTCGGTCAACCAGTTCTTGTCGGTACCTAGTCCTCCCACCTTCCTTCGATGCTTCCTGCACCATTCAGTATTTCTGCCCACAGCATCTTTTAGCATTGCCGCCCATGACATCAGTTCTCATTTTGCACTTTTCCTTCTTTCAGTCTGAGAAATGCTGAGCCCATCTGCCTTCTCTTTGGGCGTAGACCCAACTCCAGGTCTTTGAACGTTTTATTCCTTATTTTCTGGAGCCACTCTCAGTCTTCATGATCTCTTCCTTTTGCTTTAGCTTGTTTTGGTTCAAGAGCAAGTTTCAGTCTCTTCTGATAGTCATTTATTTTATTTTCTTTCCTGTCTTTTTAATGATCTTTTGCTTTAAAGTATGTCTTACCACAGCTCACATGATCTTGGGTCATTAGTGTTTTATATACCAAACCTACACTTAAAATGGTCTCCAAATGCAAGTGAGATATACTCAAAGCTGTATTCTTGCTCTCGATGAAAGACCTGTTTTAATCTTCAGCGTCAACCTGAACTTAAGGATGAGTTGGGTTTGCATATGATAGTTTGCTTCTCGGTCGGCCCATGGCCCTTTCTGACTGGCCCTGTGTCCACGAGGACCACCAAGCCAGGCTCTGGGGGAGCAGGGAGGGGCCCCGCTGTGCCTGCTCACCTGCTTGCGGCCCACAGGGCTGGAGTGGGGTGTGTGGGCCATGGTGGTCCCCAAGGACCGCCTTGACATGCCGGAACCAGCGCACCACGTGGAAGAGCTGCAGGTCCGTGGGAGGCGCCGAGAACTGCCTGAAGGCGTCCACGTCGGCCTGGGACAGCGCATGGCCCTGCACATAGCTGCGTGTGCTGAGGTGCTCATTGAGGGCCACCAGTCGCTTGGCCTCATCACCTATGCTCAGGATCTGCCTGTAGTCAGAAGCTGTGGAGACAGGGACGAGGCACCAGGTCAGGCAGTCCAGAGACGCTGGGGTGACAGGTACAGCTAGTCAGGGGCCACAGAGGAGGCGGATGTCAGGGAGGGGGACACTGAGTCTGGGCCCACAGGGGAGGCGTGAGATGCTAGGGGGAGATAAGCTCAGGGGATGGGGTGGCCAGCCCGTAGTCCCCACTCCATAGCCCTCCACAATCCTAGGCCCTATCTAGATGTGTGCTGTCACCCGTCTGCTGACCAGCCCTGCTGGCCCTGGGGACGCACCGAGAACCCTCCGTCCGTCACGGCACAGAACCCAATCTTCATGTCGGTCAGGGCAGCCCCTCTGTCTTCAACTCCCGGCATGCCCACACCCCCTCGGCTAGCCCACTGTCCTGCACACCAGCCTCCTGCACAGGTACTCCTCTAGAACATTCTAAATACGCTCCTGACTGGAGTCCACACCTGCTCCTGCCTTACAAGTCTTCCAAGGACTCTGGTCCTTCAATAGCACTTGCCAGTGTTACAGATGGACCCGAAATGGCCACAGGGAACCACAGCCCGGGGGGGGGGCAGGTATCCTGGGAGGTGTTCTCGGGCTCTGAGCCCCATGTCCTCTGGCTCCGGCCTCTACCTCTCCATGCTCTCCTAGGTGAGGGCCACGGGCACATGCTGCCACTGAGAAGCCAGAGTGCAGGGCCCACTTCCCGATGAAGACGTGCCCTGACGAAGGGCACAGCCTCCAGCATGAACCATGCTCACAGAGCTTCCTCGGAAAGCGGATGATTATGCAAAATCAGCCCTGTAAAGCCCTGAACACGCCTGGTGCCCGGCAGCCTGGGCACCACGATGGGAGTGCCCCGGGCGTCCTCCCACAGCGCGTCAGCCTAGAACAACGGCCACCCAGGGGCTGTCCACCAGGCTGGGGAAGGGCCTGCCCACCAGGCTGGGGAAGGGTCTGCCCACCAGGCTAGAAGGTTCTAGAGCTCGGAGGGCAGCCTCTAGGCAGGTGCCAAAACAATTACAATAATTATGGAAGCTGCACTGAGGCTGTTTTATGGAGATAAATAGAAGTAGGTCAGCTTTCAAGTGGTAATGGGGCAGCCAGGCTGTGGTCGGTTCTGTGGAAGATTCTGGAAGTCAGCCGAGGGCGCAGAGGGCAGAGGGCCCATCGCGGTGTGTGCCTCCCCCTCAGGGCTTGGCCAACAGCCACCGACATGATGGGATCGAGCCAGGAAATCAGCTTCTGAGTGGGGGTGTGCTGAGCGCAGGGCTCCACGCCCCCAGGCTGGAAGGGGGATCCTGAGAAAGTTCACCAGGTAACACAGATGCTGGCACCTGAGCAGCAGGGACCAGCAGGGACAGAAGGGACAATGAGAGCAGCGCCGTCTCCCCCAGCAGCCACCAGGACACCCTCCAGGTGCACTCTCCATCTCAGGCCCTGGGGTGAGGGACTGCAATGGCCACAAAGAAATCAGACCAAAGGCTACTGAGGAAGAGGACCCCTCAGAGCTCCAACCAACAACCTGAGGATTCGGGAGTGAGCGGGAAGGCCCTCTCTGTGTGGACAGCCTCCGCTCCCTGCGACAGCTTCCACTGGAGCCGGCAGGACAGATGCCCATCAGGCTTCCTCGGGATCTTGCAGCACCGGGTCCTCTTAGACCCCAACCTCAGCCCTGGTCTACCAGACTATGTCTGCCTTGACCTTCACGGATGAAGGCCTGCTCCACCACGTGTCCTCCTGCCCAGGCGAACCTGCCCTTCATGCTCGAGGGGCCGAGGAGCTGGCCTGACTCTGCTCAGAGCATCCTGCCCAAGCACGACGCCTCCGGCCCCAAAGTGCACCTCCCCTCCACGGTGGCGGCGGCTCCCCTCCATGGTGGCGGGCACACCGCTGCAGCCGCAGCTCCATGCCCAGGAAGCCCACTGGCTCCTGACACGGTGACGCCATTCTCCGAGAGGCTTCCTGCCATCTCCTGCTGTGTCCAGGGTGCCAACTCTCTCCTGTCTAGGAGGTTCCCGGTGCAGGAACCACTCAGTCAAAACACCACATGCCACTCCTGCCTCTTGGTGCTCTGGAGGTCTCCTCTGTCTGCTTCTGCAATGGCTCATTTTACGTCTAACAGGATGGTAAACTGTCCAATTCCCTGGTCAGGGTTCCACACACTTTATTTGCATGGGCCCATAGTCCTCAGGGGCTCCAGACACGTTATTTGCATTATTAGCAGGCTGTCCAATCCTGTGGTGGGTCCCAAGGACCTCATTTGCATAGCCCCATCCACTTACATGTGAATCACAAAAACATTCACAGGTACAAGGGCTCTATCACGTAATTCTCCATCCTGCATTGACAGCGGGTTTTACAGCAATGCCAGCTCCAATGCCCGGTGCTCCTGTCCCATGAACCTCGGGGCTTGACTCTCCACGGTTGCTGCTCTTCACACAACAAAGTTTTTAACCTTGGGCCAACCTCAGTTTCTCCTCCTACCTCCGACCTCCATCCTAACCTCAGCTTCCTGCCATCTGGCTCCCACTGGGGTGGCATGAGCCTCACTGGGAGCTGAAGCAGGCACCTTCCTGGAACTGCTGGACCACCCAGACCTGCTGAATCTGAAAATCAATCTCCGCAAACCCTGTATGTAGAACCCTGGAAGCAAACTCACACCCATGACTCAAGATTGGGCCAAACAACAGACAAGTCTACAAAGCAATCAGTAACATGATGGGTAACAGCAGGGAGGCAGGCGCACTCTCCTTAGAACCAAGCACACAAGAGCCGAAGGACAGAGCTCAGAAAGCCGGCAGGGAGTGGAAACAAGGATGGACGACACCGGAAAGACAGCAAGGAGGACGGACGAACGCCGTGACACTGTGGTGGCTGCAACCCAACAGCATGGAACAAAACTTAGCTCAACTGCTGAATCAATTTGCTCTATACATTTTTACTTAAATCACATAAAGTTCATTAAAAGCAGGCAAACAATGCTCCACAGCTTTGCAAAACCTATACTTGGATGAGGAAGCAGTAGTCAGAACAGAGCAAGGAAAACACTGTATGGTACAGGTTCAGGATCAGGAAAGGTGTGTACTAGGGATGCATCCTATCTCTGTATCTTTTCAATCTATATGCAGAACAGAACATTTAGGAGGCTGGGCTTTATGAGGAGGACTATGGGACCAAGAGTGGAGGAAGACTCATCAACAACCTGCATTATGCAGCTCCCACTACCTTGCTCGCTGAAACTGACGAGGACATGAGGCATTTGCTGCAGAAAGTCAAGGACTGCAGTCTTCAATATGGTCTGAAGCTCAATATTAAGAAAACAAAGATTCTCCCACCAGATGCTCTGGTGGAGAAAGAGGAGCAATCTCCTCCTGTATCAGTCAGATCTGATTTGAGGGTACACACACACAAAATAATAAAATTCTAAAAAAAGAAAACAAAGACTCTCACCATGGGGCCAATTGGTAGCATCTTGATAGATGGAGAAGAAATTGAGATTGTTAGTAATTACAGCTTGCTTGGTTCCACAATCAACACTCTTGACACTAACAGGAAATCAGATGAATTGCATTGGGAAAATCTGCTGTCCATAACCTCTCTAGGGTACTGAAGAACAATGCCATCTGGAGACTAAAGTGCACTTGATCCAGGCCATGTTCTTCACAATTACTTGCTACGCATCAGAGAGCTGGACAATGAATAAGGCTGACAGAAGAAGAAATTGATGCCTTTTTGAGTTGTGGTGCTGGAGAAGAGTAATGTACATACTGTTGATTGCAAAGAGAACAAACAGATCTGTCCTGGAGAGGGTGAAACCAAGCTGCTCCCTAGAGGCAAGGATTTCAAAGCTGTCTCTCATACTTGAGACATGTGGCCAGGAGGGATCAGTCCTTGGAGAAGGACATTATGTTTGGGAAGGTGAAGGGACAGCGAGGGAGAGGAAGACCTGGGATGAGAAGGATTAATTCAGGTGTGTTGGAAATGATGAGACTGGCTCAGGATAGGGCAGAGTTCAGAGTTATTGTACACAGGGTCGCGATGAGTCGCAGTGGACTTGAAGGCACGTAACGGCAGCAACAATGCTCCGGATCACAACCGCCTGGTCCACCACCAACCATGGGGGTGACGCCTATCAGGCAGTGTCTTGTGCACGGGGTCAGCCGGTTGGGTGGTAGCTCCCTACACCACCACCCTGACTCGCCTCATCACTTGATCTCCTGGTTCCGCTGCATGGAATCTCATCACAGGAGAACCTCTGTTCTACTTTGTGAATAGAGATCACGGCCACAGTTAGCGGAAGACCATGGCAGGGAACCGTCTTCAGGCCAGTGCTCAGCAAGCACACACACTGAAAAATCTCACGTCGTGATGTGAAGGAAGCTGGGCGACTCGCCCGTCAAGACGTGAAAGCAGCACTGTGTGTGCATCAGCTGTGCGGGGCCTGTGAGGAGTTCAAGCGCCTGAGTGTCCTCAACAGTGCCATTCAGCCCTGAGACGGGGGATGTGGCCAGCCCCAAGCCCCCCACGCTGGCAAGCCCACACAGCGGGGGCTGTAAGTGCAAAGACCCCTGGATCTGTAAATGTCCTGAATCTATCCTGGGAGGGTGAGCGGAGCACGGGAGCAACACTGAAGAGGAGGGATGCATGGCAAAGCTGCGAGGACGGCCATCCTGTGAGTGAAGGACACTGAGACCAGGATGACTGACCAAGTCCCTGCAGCTGGAAGGCCCTCCGGAGAGCTCACCTTCATTTCTTTTCCTCTGAGGGTGGCTCAGGTGCTCATTTTGAAAGAATGCCCAAATGGACAGGGCGTCTGGGGAAGGGAAAACTGACAGGAGTCAAGGAGAGGGCAGGCGGGCGAGAGGGAAAGGAGATGCTGGCCAAGAGGAAAATCCACCCTCTCACTACACGTCTGAGAGCTGGTCAGTTACTCAGGGTGACTAAGAATGGAGGCCTGTGAGCTGTCATGCTGGAGGAGGGCACTGACTATCCCACGGACTGCCAAGGGAACAGGCGGGTATGTCCCGGAGCAGTTGCAGCACAGCCCCTAAGAGGGACAGACCATAAAGCTCCGTCTCACTTACTTTGGACACGAAACTCGGGGAAGCTATTCCTTGGAGAGAGAAGGTGGGAGGTCAGTGAAGGAGAGGAAGACCCTCAACAAGATGGATCGACGCAGTGACCGCAGCACTGGGCTCGAGTGTGCCAGGGACGATGAAGATGGCACAGGCCAGGCCAGGTCACACTGTCCAGAGGGTCACTGAGAGTCATTCTCAACTCCACAGCACCTGACAACATCGACAAACAGCCGCCCATCATCACAAACAGGCCAGTTCTCACAAGGCCTCTGTTCTGAAGCACAGAAAAAAAAACAACCAAGAGACTCCCTGTAAAATGAGTTCTGATGGAGCAGTGGGTCAAGAGTAGGCAGCTAACTGGAAGGTTGCTGGTTTGCCTCCATCAGCAGCTCCTTGGCACAAAGATGGGACGGTCTGTAGCATCTAAAGATGCAAATTGGAAACCCCATGGGCTCGTTCTCTCGGGGTTGCTGTGAGCCAGTACCCTGACAGCGGTAGGTGACATCACATCTGCTCCCAAACGGACCACAGTCACTGCTCTTCAGAAAGCACGTGGCCCCGGCGATCAGGGCTTCTCTGCTCACCAGTCACTGCCCAGAATGCCCTGCCAGGCAGGAGCCATCGTGTCCTTCCTGTCAGAAAGCCCAGAGCCGGGACCCCGGCACCATCCGCCCCCCAGCAGGTGTGAACCAGGCTGCTGTTTCACAGGCTCCCGGGGCTCATGGCATAGTGCAGTCAGGTGTCAGGCTGCTAGCCGCAGGGCCAGCGGTTCAAATCCACCAGGTGCTCTGTGGGACAAAGCTGGCAGTCCCTTCATCAGGATTAGAGTCTCAGAAACCAGAGTTGGAACAGACGGGATGGCAGCAGGATGGAGGTTTGGTTTGGGTGCCCAGCGGGGTTGGGTGCCTGGCTGGTGACATGGTGCAGGAATGCAGGCGGAACGCAGCGCACCCTGGCATCTGGGTCTCGCCCACGGGTCTGGGTCACCCAAGAAGCCAGAGCTACCTGCCTGGATGTCCCAGGCCGCGGGTGCAGCCAGCCTCAGGAGCAAGAGGCCACCACAGGTTGCCAAGGGGCTGCGAGCAGAACAGCTCTTGGGGTGGGTGACCACACGCAGGTACCAGCCACCCCTTCCTGCCCTGGCTGGCGCACACAGCTGGGAACCCGGCGGGGCGGACAATCGTGGCCCTCGGACGCTGTCTGCCCACTGCCGGCTGGGCGGCCGCCTCCTCCCTGACCCTCAGGGCCAGTAAAGTGGGGCAGCGCCGCGTCTGACCGCCGCTTCCAGCCCAGATGAAAGCCTTGGGGACAAGCCCAGAGCGTTTATGTGTGTCCGCGTCCCCGCGCCCTCTGCCCGGCTGCGCACCGAGGCTCCCGCGTGGGCGGCGCGACCTGAACAGCCGAAGTCCAGGGCGATCGGGCCGGGGGAGCCGGTTCAGTGTGGGGTCACTCCTGGGGCCCGGGGCGCAGGGCCAGCGCGGGAAGCCGAGGGCAGGAGGCAGTGCCGCGAGTTCGCGTCCCCCGCGGGCCGGGCAGCGCGCGCAGCAGTGCCGATCCGGCCGGCCCCGCCCCCGCCGCTGTCTCCCCGGGTTCCTGGCCCCGCGGCCGGGGTCGTGTCCCGCCGGCAGGGACCCCGCGCCCGTCCGGCCCTGACCCTGGTCCCACGGCCAGCCCCGAGGTCCCGAGGCCCCGAGTAGCCTGCAGCCCCGGCCGGCGCACTCACCCTGCTCCTCGGAGGAACCTGCCATCGCTGGGAATCCCGGAGCAGTCACCGCAGACAAACCGCCTCCCAGAATCTGATGCAACCACGGCGCCGGAAGCCCCGCCTAGGCCAGGCCCCACTTCCGGAACAGGCGCGGCTGCTAGGCAACAGCGTCAGGGCGGGGACGCCCCAGGCCCGAGACATTCTGGGAGTTGTAGTTTTCACGTTGAACACCGCAGGTCTTCTTGGGCCAGATGCGGGGACGCACAGGGCTGGGCAAGCACGTGCGCGGAACACGGGCCAGGAGTCCCGTCCACCTCGGGAGATGGGGCCCAGTCGACCTCCAGAGATGGGCGGGATGAACAGCTCATCTCATGCCCGGGCAGGATGTTGCGATCTTGTCCAGCGCTCTAGGGACCCACCTGGCGGTCAGAAGACTTCCAGGACAGGCAGTGAAGCCTGCAGGGAACGATCAGCCGGGGAAAAGGAGTGTGATGGAGAGTGAGGCTGTGGGGAAGGTGAGAGCTGACTGAGGGAACCACCTGGCACGGGACCCCATTATGTTATGGAAAAATTCTCTCTTTCTCTGTGTGTTTCTGTGTGGGGTGTCAGGGAGGAGAGATACGTTGGAGTAGCACTTACCAAGATGGGCAGAGAACCGATCCGCTAAAGAAAGCCTGGTGGAAAGCTTTCACGTGCTGGGGTACCAGCCAGAGATCTCTACTGATTATAACTGTTCATTGGTGTCGCCTGACGGCGTAAAGCTGCCCTTCCCGGTCTCCTAGGCGGTCATCTTTAAGGGAAAGCGATTTGGTCGTGTAGTACTGGATGAATCAGGATACTAGCTGAAATGCTTGCGGTTCGAATCCACCCTGTACTCCTTGGGGGAAAGATGAGCAGTTGTCTCCTGTCACAGGTTGAATTGTGTTCCCGCCTCCAAATTATACGTAATGATAAAATATGGAAGCTAGATCCCCGTGAGATAAAACAAACACGGTGTAAGAAGTTTAAGGGTGAAATGCAACATTCCTTAATCCTGTTGTTATGTATAAACAGTCAATCTATTCCTCAAGGGTCTTCCCTCTCTTGTGCTGTCCCTCCACCATCCCATGCATAATGTTCCTCTCCAAGAACTGGTCCCTCCTTAGAGCATGCCCAAAATATATCAGTCAGAGCTTCAAAATCCTTTCCTCCAAGAAGCAGCCTGGTTTTAGCTCTCCAGGACAAACCTGTTTGTTCTCCTAGCAGTCCATGGTAATCCTATCACATGTCTAACTGGATGTAAGGGGAGTCCCCTTGAGGGCTGTGGCCAGTGTTAGGTCTTCGCACTGGACGTAAGGCCAAGGACTCAAGGAAGGGACCAGAGAAAGAAAGGAAGTAAAAGAAGCTTTATTAAGGGGTCTCCCGGGCGGGATTCCTTGGTCTGCAGAGAGGGAAACAGGCAGAGGGACAGACCAGGGAAACACTGAACCCTAAGGTGGACTAGGGCAGGTTTTATAGTGTGGGTCTTTAGGGAGGGGACACTCCATGGTAGCTGAAGCTGTTCACTCCCTTTGTTGGCATGTTGATATTCCTTGAATCCTTTGTTCTCCCTTTGACCTTGGTCCTGGCCTGACAGCCAGGAACACCTTTTCTCTCACTGGAGATAAGTAACAGGAAGGACAGTTGTCTGGAGTGGATGGGGTCATACTTTTGGGCAAGAGCTCCTTGACATCAGGAAAGGCCAAAACACTTTGAAATCTCCGAATACGTGTGGTCTACAGATGCCAACACTTCTTTGCCTGGTGGTGGTCAGGAGCTATGCTCCTGGCCCCAAGGCAGGTATTGCAAGGAGGAAGAATGTTGCAGTTGCCCCCAGTCCTGATCACACCTTGGAGAAACCTGATAATAACTGGAGCCTGATCACAAAGCACACGCCCAAGCTAATTGGCAGGATTCCACAAATACCTAGCAAAATACCATCTTCCCTAGTCCGCCCCAAAACTCCCTATAAAAAGAAACAGTCCTTGTCTGTCCTCTTGCCATTTGGCCTTCTCTGCGCTGTCACTTGCTGTCCCTCTCAGGCTGCACAATAAAGGCCTGCACATTTCTTGGGACCACCTTCTTTCCTTCTCTCTCTCTCTCAACTCTTTTTTTCTATCTAACATTGTGAAAATCATCAGCTGTTCCACAAGGCAGCAATCTCCTCCTGTAGAATTCACAGCCTTGAAAATAGGCTGGAGGGTCTGTTAAGAGTCTTTTCCAGTTCTATGGCAACCAACTCACACACAGAGTGGGCATTCGCCCGAGCTGTTACCCTGATTTGGACTGTAGCCTCCTGATGTCCTAGTCAGTAAGGAGTTGTGCTAACTCAAAGGCACCCGGTTCAAATCCACCAGCTGCTCCTTGGAAGAAAGGCAGGCAGTCATCTTCTCAGCAATTTACAGCCTCTGAAAACCTGCTGGAGGGGCTGCTATGAGTAGGTTGTGGCGCAGCCACTGTTTTCTGACTCACTAAACTCGTAAACTGTTGTTGTTATGTGCTATCTAGTCATCTGTGACTCATAGTGACCCTATGTACATTAGCTCTGAAAACTGCCCCATCATACTGAGCCAATCTCATCATCTCAAACAGACCTAATCCCATTTTTCCAGTCACTGAGCTACTCCATCTCATCCTGGGTTTTCTTCTCATGACTATTCCTCCATCCTTCCAAGCATGATATCTCTCTCCAAGGACTGGTCTTTCCTAGCCATGTACACAAAGTATGTGAGATGGAGCTTCAAAATGCTTGCCTCCAGGGAGCAACCTGATTTTACCCTATTAAGGACAGACCTGTTTGTTCTCTTGGCAGTCCACAGTATGTTCAACACTTCTCCAGCATTACAACTCAAAAGTATTGATCCTTCTATCATCTTTAGTTATTGTCCAGCTCTCTGATAGATAGCAAGTTATTGCAAAGACCATGGCCTGGTTCAGGTGCACCTTAGTCTCCAGAATGACATTGCTGCTCTTCAGTATTCTAAAGAGGTCCCTGACAGCAGACTTTTGCCATGCAACTAGTCTTTTGATTTCCTGACTGCTGGTTCCAAGAGCGTTGATTGTGGAACCAAGCAAGCTGAAGTTACCAACAATTTCAATCTCTTCTGCATCCATCATATAGCTGCCAATTGGCCCAGTGGTGAGAATCTTTGTCTTCTTGATGCTGAACTTCAATCCATATTGAAGATGATAGTCCTTAATCTTCTGCAGCAAGTGCCTCATGTCCCCTTCAGTTTCAGCAGGCAAGGTTGTGTCATCTGCATAGGTTGTTGATGAGTCTTCCTCCAGTCCTGATGCAACATTCCTCCTCATAAAGCCATGTTTCCCAAATGAGCTGTTCTGCATATAGATTGAAAAGGTATGGAGACAAAATTAAGACAGCACTTTTGATTACTGGCCTGGTGCATGGTCTGACACCCTTCTTTATTGCCAGATGTAATGGCTTCATTGAAGGAATTCAATATACTTTGGATAAAGTGCAACCAGGGTTCTCCTGAGAGGCAAGGAGGAGAAACTTCATCTTACATGTTTCAGGCATATTGCTAGGGCCACGTGTTTGGAAAGGTGGAGGGTTAGCTAAAGACAGGAAGACTCCACTAGAAGTCCTAATCCACAACATAAACAGTCTTCCCAGTATCCTGGAAAAGCTACAACCAGGAGAAGATAACATAGATGAATGGGACCTT